AAAAAAAAAAAAAATTGTATATGAATGTTCATAGTGGCATTATTCATAATAACCAAAAAGTAGAAACAACCTATCAGCTTATGAATGGATAAACAAATGTGGGGTATATGCAGACAGTGGATATTAATTAGCAATAAAAAGGAATGATAGGCTGATACATGCTACATCATGGATGAACCCTGAAAACATCATGCTAAGTTGAAAGAAGACACTCACAAAAGCCTATATATTGTATGATTCCATTATATTAAATGCCTAGAACGGGAAAATCCACGGAGACAAAAAGTAAATTGGGGTTCCCCAGGGCAGGGGGCCAACAGGATAGGGAGCAACTGCTAAAGAGTATAAAGCTCCCTTTTGGGGTGATGAAATGTTCTAAAATTATTTGTGGTGATGGCCGCACAACTCTGTGAATACATTGAAAACCATTAAAATGTGTACTTTAAATGGGTAAACTGGATGGTATGTAAAATCCTACTAAAGCTGTTTTTAAAAAAGGTAATTATGCTACAAAATGGCAAAGCCCAGTGACAGAGACACTTGTGCATAGAATGGGAGCAATAGAGTCATCTAAGTGTTTGTGAAAAACAGAAAGAGACACTCATCCAAACACTCATCATGAAGGCTTTCTGAAGGAGGTGATAGTCTAAGTTCAATCCAAAAGGCCTAGGGCCAGGCACCGTGGCTCATGCCTGTAATCCCAGCACTTTGGCAGGCCAAGGCAGGAGGATCCCTTGAGCCCAGGAATACAAGACCAGCCTGGGCAACACAGATCTTGTCTCCGCCGGGCGCAGTGGCTCACACCTGTAATCCCAGCACTTTGGGAGGCCGAGGTGGGCAGATCACGAGGTCAAGAGATGGAGACCATCCTAGCCCACATGGTGAAAACCCATCTCTACTAAAAATACAAACATTAGCTGACGTAGTGGTGCATGCCTGTAGTCCCAGCTACTTGGGAGGCTGTGGCAGAAGAATCACATCTCTTAAACCTGGGAGGCAGAGGCTGCAGTGAGCAGTGCCACTGCACTCCAGCCTGGCGACAGAGCAAGACTCCGTCTCAAAAAAAAAAAAAAAAGAGAATGAAAGATCCTGTCTCAACAAAAAATTTAAAACCAGTCAGCCCTGGTGGTATATACCTGTAGTCCCAGCTACTTGGGAGGCTAAAGCAGGAGGATCACTTGAGCCCAGGAGGTTGAGGCTTCGGTGGCCAAGATCATGCCACTGCACTCCAACCTGGGTGACAAGAGCAAGACAGTTTCAGCAACAACAATGTAACAAACAAATAAAAAGCCTGAGCCAGGCGCAGTGGCTCACGCCTGTAATCCCAACACTTGTGAGACCAAGGCAGGCGGATCATGAGGTCAGGAGTTCGAGACCAGCCTGACCAACATGGTAAAACCCCATCTCTACTAAATATACAAAAATTAGCTGGGCGTGGTAGTACATGCCTGTAATCCCAGCTACCCAGGAGGCTGAGGCAGGAGAACTGCTTGAACCCAGAAGGCGGAGGTTGCAATGAGCCGAGATTGCGCCACTGCACTCCAGCCTGGGTGACAGAGTGAGACTCTGTCTCAAAAACAAACAAACAAACAAACAAACAAACAAACCTGGGTTTGGTAGGGGATTAGGGGGCATAGGATAAGGAGCTACAGTTCATTGTGGCAATGGGAAACCCCCTCTTCATGGCTGAGCCTCCAGATTGGGTACTTCCTTCATTTGGGGACCATGTCCCATTCTACTCTTTTTTTTTTTTTTGAGACAGAGTTTTGCTCTGTCGCCAAGCTGGAGTGAGTGCAGTGGTGCGATCTGAGCCCACTACAACCTCTGCCCCCCAGATTCAAGCCATTCTCCTGCGTTAGCCTCCCAAGTAGCTAGGATTACAGGTGCTCACCACCACGCCCAGCTAATTTTTTTGTATTTTTAGCAGAGATGAGGTTTACCATGTTGGCCAGGCTGGTTTCTAACTCCTGACCGCAGGTGATCTGCCTGCCTCATCCTCCCAAAGTGCTGGGATTACAGGCATGAGCCACCACGCCCAACCAATAGCTTTTTAAAATAATTAAATATTCAAACATTTATTGCATGCTTGCTGTGTGCCAGACACTGTTCCAGAATACAATGGTGAAAAAGAACGCCTAAGTCCTGCCCTCACGAGGCTGACATTGGAGAAAGGGGGACTGAAAATAAATAAGTAAAATATTAAACGTATAACACAATTACAGGTAATAAGCCTAAGAAGAAAAATGAGGCTGATTAAAAAGAAGAGTTGAGATGGCAGGAAAGCCTATTTTAGGGAGAGGTCAGGGTAGGCCTCTCAGTTGAGGGGACACACGCGTGGCAGCTGAAGAAAGTGGGTGTGGGCCTCCCGCCGCCGGCACCGCCCCCTCCAGCCACGCCTCCCACCCGGAAAGTTGCCCCGGGTGGCCCGCGGCCCCAGCGCCCGCAGCCCGGCCCCCACCACTCCCCCGGGCGGCCGGCATTGAAAATTCACCCGCATTTTTGAAACGTGGCTTGGGGGTTTTCTCTCTTTTTCCTGCCCCGGCCTCTCTGCCCTCACGCCCGGTCTTCTTGACCCGCCGCGCTCCTGCCCGGGCAGACGCCCTGCGTCTGCATCAGCCCGCGGTTTCCCTGCAGCTGGCGGCGCGGAGCTGCTCACGGATTTATTTGTGCGCGTGGATGTGAGCGTTTCTGCTCCTGCGGCCCCGCTTCCAGGAAGCCCGCGGGCAGCCGGGGTCGCCTTCAGGGCCCCTCAGACCAGCTCCACACCCGCCAGCCGGAGAGGTGCCTCTGGCCCTGGGAAAGCGCCCCGGGGCCGTCGGGCTCCGGGAACTGGGAGGACGCCGTGTCCCCGAGTCCACCAGCGTCGAAGCACGATTAAAAAAAAAAAAAAAAAAAAAAGAATGAGCCAAATGCAACTTTTTACCCCTGGTTTACTCAGCCTCCCGCGGTCTCCTCCTCCCGGCGGGTTACGTGATCCGCGACCCTCTAGATGGAGACCCCTCCCCTAGGAATGTGGCTCCGGGCTCCGCGGATCCCGCCTCGGAGCGTCCGGGCTGCGGACTGTGACTCCGGGGCAGGTAATCAGGGGCGCGGGCCCGGTGGGGCGCGGAGGCCGCCTGGGCTCGGGGGAGGGTCCCGGGCGGAGAGCAGGGTGCGCCTGTCCGGATCCACCTGGCGGGTCCCAGTCCGGCGGCAAACTCAGGCGACGGGGCCGGGGGAGAACCCTGGGCGCCGCTCCAGCTCGGGAGGCGGGAGGTGGGGACGCCCGGCGTCTCCGGGCTGCGACCCGCTGCGTTGGAAAGTGCGGGGCTCCTCGGCGCGGGCCGGGGTCTCTGACCCGGGCGAGCACCCGCAGCCTGCCTTCCCCCTGCTGCCGGGCATCCTCTCCCCTCGACACCGTGCCGGCTTTCGGCTGCGCAGGGCGAGCAGAGAGAGCACTGGCCCCGGGCCCTGAGCCGGTAGCCCCCTGTCCCCTGGAGCCCCGGCGTCCAGCCGCCCAGGTCCCCCTTGCGACGGAGATCCGTTGTCACCCTCCGCCCGCGTTCTTCTCAGAACCTCAGGTCCCTGCTTTGCTGTCTTTGGAGGCCTGCTTCAGTTGCTTTTTTTTTTCCCCAAGCAAGTTTTTACAACAAGGAGGTGTCCAAAAGAAAATCCTCCAAGACAGGAATGCTTGCTAATTGTATTCGGTGCAAAATGCTGTTGAACGGCTCTGCATTTAAAAGAAGAACGCACTAAAACCCCCTTTCAGTGCACGGGGAGGGCCTGGACCTTGGGTCTACCCGAGGGTTTTAGGCTCCTCCAGACCCTATCAGCAGCCTCAGGAAGAACCTGGACAGTGGCAGACAGGAGCCCTGCGCCCGGGGAGCCAAAAACTCCACCAGGCAATTGTCCCGGTGTGATGAGAAGAGTGAGGTGTAGACACATTGAGGGATTGGCCCCGGGTCACTCGCGAGGGAGGGAATGAAGTAATGAGTCATTCCCAGCCAAGAACGCTGCGTGCTGGGGAGCAACCTCCCCTGAGTCACCCGCCTCTCAGCTCAGAATGAGTGGAGAAACTGGAGCCTGGAGCCAGGTTCTTAGACTAATCAAAAGTCACAGGGCTAGGATAGGGGGAGGCAGTGCCCCTCCTGCTGGAGAAATGGAATGCTTGGCCCATCTAAAGAAGGCTCCAACTCCTCCTTCCAGGGGGCACCCCGGGTGCTTCTTTTCCAATTCCTCCTTTGTACTTATTTAGCCACTGGTATGCACTGACTCAGTGGTTGTTCAGTTTGCATGGCACCTTTCTGTGTATAGTCTGAGGTTACTATTCGGTTAATGCAAAAGTAATGGCAAAAGCCACAATGACTTTTGCACCAACCTATTATAAGTAAACAGGAAATAAGCTGAGGACAAGGACTGTGCCTCCCAAACACGTTTCTTTGATAGGTAGCTTTTCTTGGCCTTGCATAGGCATCGATCCAAGTAAGTGTTCAGTTTGTGTGGCTGCCTCCAGTGTGCGCATCCAAGCCCAGCCTTGTCAAATACACCCCCTGTTGCCTGAGCTGGGATGGCCCGCCAGCTCTTCTCCCAGCACCCCCTCTGTACCTACAGTGCATCCTCCACCTGACCAGCCCTGTGACTTTTGCTTAATGTAAATCAGATCAAGACTCCTCTGCTGAAACCTACCAAAGCCTTCTCCATCACACTTGAAATAAAAAACCCAAATTCTCAGGCCAGGCGCGGTGGCTCACGCCTGTAATCCCAGCACTTTGGGAGGCTGAGGCAGGCAGATCACGAGGTCAGTAGAGAGCAACCTGGCCAATATGGCGAAACTCTGTCTCTACTAAAAACGCAGAAATTAGCCTGGCATTGTGGCTAATTGTAGTCCCAGCTACTTGGGAGACTGAGGCAGGAGAATTGCTTGAAGGTGAAGGTTACAGTGAGCCAAGATCACGCCACTGCACTCCAGCCTGGGCGACAGAGCGAGACTGTGTCTCAAAAAAAACCCAAATTCTCCACCACGGTCTGCAAGCTCCTGTGTGAGGTTGTCCCACCTTCATCATATTTAGGTCTCTTCGAAGAGGGCTTTGTGATCCCCTCGCTGGAGCAAGTCACTCTGAACACCTGACCTGTGTTAGAAGTTCTCTTGTTTATCTGTTAGTTGTTTCTCATGTGCCCCGCCCCTGTTAGAGCATAGGCTCCATCAGGGCACAGGCCCTGTCTGGCTTATTTGCCTCAGTGACTAGACCAGGGCCTGGCACCTACATAGACACTCAGCAAGTTGTTAGTCGAGTACATGACCAAACTTCTCTCAGGGATGGGCATGTTGATGAAAGGGAGTGCTAGAGCATGCAGCAAGATGCTGAGGGCCTTGCCTTACGTCTCTTCAGTCCACTCTGACCACACGCAGCTAGAGGCAGGCAGATAGGAACAGTGGTGTGGGGAAAACAGGTCCCTTGGCCACCATTGACTTGGCTCAATGCTGATTCTGATCTGATGAACACACACAGCCCCAACTAATCCCTCTGCATCACATCCCTCTTCCTTCCTTCATTTTCTTATTTCTCCTCTACTTCCCACTAACCATGGCTGCTTTTTTTTAAGACGGAGTCTTGCTCTGTTGCCCAGGCCGGACTGCAGTGGCGTGATCTCAGCTTACTGCAACCTCCACCTCCTGAGTGCAAGCAATTCTCCTGTCTCAGCCTCCTGAGTAGCTGGGATTACGGGCACCCGCCACCACACCCAGCTAATTTTTTGTAATTTTAGTAGAGCCGGGGTTTCACCATCTTGGCCAGGCTGGTCTCAAACTCCTGACTTCATGATCCACCCACCTCAGCCTCCCAAAGTGCTGGGATTACAGGCATGGGCTGCCATACTTGGCCTTTTTTTTTTTTTGAGACTGTGTCTTGCTCTGTCGCCGAGGCTGGAGTGCAGCAGCCCAATCTTGGCTTACTGCAACCTCCACTTCCTGGGTTCAAGAGGTTCTCCTGTCTCAGCCTACCAAGTAGCTGGCACCACCACGCCCAGGTAACTTTTGTATTTTTAGTAGAGACAGGATTTCCCCATGTTGACCAGGCTGATCTCAAACTCCTGGCCTCAAGTAATCTACCCGCCTCAGCCTCCCAAAGTGCTGGGATAACAGGCATAAGCCACTGCCCCCAGCCACAATGCCTTCATTTTCTGCTGCTTGGAGAGTCGCAAAGCTCAATTCTTGGGTCTTTCTTCTTTTTCACCTATACTCCCTGATCATTTGTTTCAGTCTCAAGGTTTCAAATACCATGTTTACCCTGAGGAAGGAGTCTCCAACCTGGAGCTGAAATCCAGAGCCTTGCCCT